TTGCGTTAAATTTGTTATTTCGTATTACTAGCATTAATTCGTATTAATTAGAATATTAAGATAATATTAGTTCTAAGCTGAAGAACGAAGACAACCGACGAGGGAACTTAGTTTTTTTATAGGTTTAGGCTCAAGAAAGAAGTCATCCGCCGAGGGATTTTAGTATCGGTAGTATTATATAGTTAAGATTTAAGTTATTTATAAGGTTTATTGTAAAAGGTGGGTAGATGTAGAACTTGTGATTCCATCTATCTGCCTTGGGCCTCCACTCGCAGCAACCTCCTCGTGGTGAGACCCGGGCAATTGGTATTATCTTCGGTAAAGTATTGTAAACTGAAGGCAATACCGAGCTAATGGCTGCGAAATTAAAATTAATTTCTCTAGTTGTATGAACGAATGTAAGATCGAATATTTTTGGTGAATGTTCTATCTTACATGATACTTAGAATATTTTAAGGCAACATAGACGACAGAAAATCTTTGTTTATTATAAGGATACGTAAAATAAAAATTTGTGTTTCAATTGCTTTTTAAAAACATATAAGCCTATGTTGTCACTGTTAAACTGTTGTATTAACAATGGACAAATAATGTATTTCAATTAAATTTACATAATAATATTAGCGTGTTTATAATAGCAATATTAATCGTTATTAGTTTCTTGTACTCGAAAATAAATATAATAGGTCTGGCAAGACTTAAACACAAAACCTCTTTGTAATACGTTTACTTGTCAGCAAACGAACAGAGGAATTTGTGATCATTGTTCCTTCGGTGATTTTCGAAGATATTGAAATGTATGATTGAACAGTTGTTTCATTTATTCTTCTTGATTGAAAATAATGTAATCAATAGTGTGAATAAAATTGTACCATACAAAATGATTAATAACTAAATTTGCCTAGTTATCTTATTTATGTACAATAGTGTAGCAAAGCACGGGTTAGTGATTTTCAATAAATAATGTGCTGGTCGACAGACTGGGGTGCGCGCACGTGGGTGAGAACTGGCTGGCAACAGTCAAGCACTCCTCGTTTACTTTATATTGGACATTCGTCTTGTCCAAGTACTTGACGTATAGCTTAAAAAACGTAGATTAACTCCATCGCATTGATAATAACAATAAACGACCGGAACATTGTGAAAATCGTATTTAATCGCGGAATACCACTATTTTTTCGACTGGTGGCGGCATCCGTGGCAAATTGCTGAACCTGCTAGCCAAATCATACCGACAGATATATGAAAATGCCTAATGATAGGAAAATGCGAATATCTCAGTAATTAGACGCTTAAAATGAACGCAGTGGTCTCAAATTACTGCTGACGATCCCGTGCATTGATTTAATATCGCAGAACACTATAATCGAAAGAATTATTTCTGTCACCTGTATCAACACTGGTAGAAATTATTTGTCTAATTATGGGGTTCTGCTGCATTCGGTCAACGTATTGAATCGTGGGGAATAATGTAAGACTAGCAACCTTAACTTTGAGCGGTTAATTACTGAGATATTCGCATTTTTCCATCACTTGGAATTTTTTCTCATCTGTCGGTATGATTACGCTAGTAGCACATACGAGATACATACATTGTATGTTAGGTCGATTCATATATTTCGTCTGTCTTAGTAGTTTGAGAGAATTGACACAGGTGGCGCCACCGGTCGAAAAATAGTGGTATGTATACAGTATAAATTCAATTTTTTTGCGATTCAAACTAGATGAAATAGAATTGTGGTGCCATTTGCGGTGAAACGTTCAAGTTGTTAGCAATTTTATACTACAATCTTGTTGACAGATGGCGCCGTTATATTACGAATGAAGTCGTTCCTTAGAGTATCGCTGTGGAATCTAGGGATACGAAGTTAGAACCAATTGGCTAGTAGCTTGGCCATTTTCCCGCGGATGGCGCCACGATTGCTTTTGTGTGGCGTCAATGACCACACGTGTTTGAAATATCTACAAGGTGATTCTCTCGGTGCTACGGTGGTAAAGGCAAACTGCCTGTTTTATCATTAATTAACTTGTTATATATTTCATATTTTTAAGTGTATAACTATTTATAGAACGTTTCATTCCTGGAATACGACATCAAAATTCATAATTTTCCATTCAATTATTCTGTAATTATTTTATAAATTCTTCGTTAAAGTCTTTTGTGACACTCTACTAGAACAGATAAACAATGCAGTAGATACTTTGCTAGAGGAAAGCAACAGCAAATGCAATTGTTTAGGATTATGAACCTTACTGCTAGAAGCTGTTTCGAGCCGAGGGGAGATATCGTTGACGATAGGCATTAACAGAATATTGTCTCTGACTTGTGTAGGTATATACCGTATCTCGTGCTATATGTATATCTCTGTGCGTATGGAATGGCATGATCCATATAGACTGTATTTGGTCCTACATTTATGCCCTGGTATCACATTTCAGGGCTCATGCTATTGTCTGCATCAAAACGCCCCATTAGTACTTAGAAGCAGTATTGAACGGGGCAATTGGGATTTTTAAGAGAACAAGATTGATCCATAAGTTACGCCGTTTTTAATCTTGTTTATTTAAAGAGTTACCATAGCATATCTTGACCAGCAAAAAATACACTAAACTGACGATATTTCATTAATGATGGTAATTTGCAGAATCGAAACGAAGGATTCTTTTGATACCCCTTTCAGTTCTTTCAAGTCTTGATTTTTTCTTTATTCTACGCACGATAATAACAGTACTTATAGAACGGCCAATTATTTATTGAATGTAAATTAAAAAATTCTGCTAGTGGAGCATTCAAGAACGTTACGATTTTTTTGTCTCGATCAACGTTAATCAATTATACGATGAACTTGACGCGTCTGTCGGGTCCGTTGAGTGGAACCGAAGAGATACAACTAGTA